TCAAATACTCTCTTGAGGCGCGTTGTTGGAATCAGGCGACAAACATCAGCGTCACACATCATAGCAACTACGAGTTGGCAACCAGGGCCTCGAACAGTTCAAGATTCCTGCCACGGATGCTTTGTGTAAAAGTAGCTTCAAGCTTGACATTTTGCGCACATAGCAGCTTGCAAAGCTTCAGCACATCTGACAAAATGAAGGGACCAAAAACAGGCCCGCCAGGAGGGACCACTTTCGATCCTAAGAGGGTCCACTTTTGGGTCCCTTCTGAAATATATTTGCTTTGTGCAAGGGTCCAAAACTGGGCCCTCAGCATTCTGAATCTGGTGCCTCCCTGGCCCCCTGGGGGCTTGTTTGACGCCCCATTCAAATACTCTCTTGAGGCGCGTTGTTGGAATCAGGCGACAAACATCAGCGTCACACATCATAGCAACTACGAGTTGGCAACCAGGGCCTCGAACAGTTCAAGATTCCTGCCACGGATGCTGTTTGTGTAAAAGTAGCTTCAAGCTTGACATTTTGCGCACATAGCAGCTTGCAAAGCTTCAGCACATCTGACAAAATGAAGGGACCAAAACCAGGCCCGCCAGGAGGGACCACTTTTGATTCTAAGAGGGTCCACTTTTGGGTCCCTTCTGAAATATATTTGCTTTGCGCAAGGGCCCAAACTGGGCCCTCAGCATTCGGAATCTGGCTGCCCTTCCCTGGGGCTTGTTTTGACCACCCTATATCAAATGCTCTCTTGAGGCGCGTTTTTGGAATCCAGGCGACAACATCAGCGTCACACATCATAGCAAACACGAGTTGGCAAAACCGGGCCATCAACGGTTCAAGAGTCCTGCCGCGGATGCTGTTTGTGTCAGTAGCTTCAAGCTGGACATTCTGCGCACATAGCAGCTTGCAAAACTTCAGCACATCTGACAAAATGAAGGGACCAAAAACAGGCCCGCCAGGAGGGACCACTTTCGATCCTGAGAGGGTCCACTTTTGGGTCCCTTCTGAAATATTTTTGCTTTGCGCAAGGGTCCAAAACTGGGCCCTCAGCATTCTGAATCCGGTGCCTCCCTGGGGGCCTGTTTGACGTGCCATTTAAATACTCTCTTAAGGTACGTTGTTGGAATCTAGCTACAAACATCAGCGTCACACATCATAGGAACTAGGTCAGCAACAAGGGCCTCGAACAAGGGAGGCCCCCACCGCGTCTCCAAAAAGTCTGCCGATTTCAGGTGCTAAAAACGAACCCGTCTGGACATGCATGGCAGTGCTACTCGCTAAAGTTACAGAAAGATCATCCAATGTGGAAACCTTTCCTGTACATTGCCAAATTTTGAAGGGTGCAAGGTGCACCTTTTTTCAGGCTAGGAAACGAACCTTTAGTGTTTCTTATTTCACACTTTCGAAAGTGCACCTTTTGGCACCCTGGTTTTATCCAGCTATCTATGTTGCGAAAATAACAGAAATTGACCGTGCTGTTATTCCATCCGAAATTGTTAGGACTGGAAACCTTATCCGCCACAATTTTCTCAAAATTTTGGGCAAACTTCCCCGCACCCCTCCAACAAACATGATTGAGAAAAATAAGATAATGATTCTTTGCAGCATCTGCACTTTGATCTTTGTTTCGGGCGGGAAGGGGGGATGCCGGGCCTGTCACATGCACTTGTGCCAGCTCAGGAGTCCAAGAGGTGGTCGTTTGGACGGCTTTTGCTTCTGCCTGTCACTCAGAAGGGTCTATTTTTGGGCCCGAAAAAGGCAAGAAAAATTAGACACGCAAATACGGGCCTCCCCAGTTCAAGATTCCTGCCACGGATGCTGTTTGTGCTAAAGTAGCTTCAAGCTTGACATTTTGCGCACATAGCAGCTTGCAAAGCTTCAGCACATCTGACAAAATGAAGGGACCAAAAACAGGCCCGCCAGGAGGGACCACTTTCGATCCTAAGAGGGTCCACTTTTGGGTCCCTTCTGAAATATATTTGCTTTGCGCAAGGGTTCAAAACTGGGCCCTCAGCATTCTGAATCTGGTGCCTCCCTGGGGGCTTGTTTGACGCCCCATTCAAATACTCTCTTGAGGCGCGTTGTTGGAATCAGGCGACAAACATCAGCGTCACACATCATAGCAACTACGAGTTGGCAACCAGGGCCTCGAACAGTTCAAGATTCCTGCCACGGATGCTGTTTGTGTTAAAGTAGCTTCAAGCTGGACATTTTGCGCACATAGCAGCTTGCAAAGCTTCAGCACATCTGACAAAATGAAGGGGCCAAAAACAGGCCCGCCAGGAGGGACCACTTTCGATCCTAAGAAGGTCCACTTTTGGGTCCCTTCTGAAATATATTTGCTTTGCGCAAGGGTCCAAAACTGGGCCCTCAGCATTCTGAATCTGGTGCCTCCCTGGCCCCCTGGGGGCTTGTTTGACGCCCCATTCAAATACTCTCTTGAGGCGCGTTGTTGGAATCAGGCGACAAACATCAGCGTCACACATCATAGCAACTACGAGTTGGCAACCAGGGCCCCGAACAGTTCAAGATTCCTGCCACGGATGCTGTTTGTGTCAAAGTAGCTTCAAGCTTGACATTTTGCGCACATAGCAGCTTGCAAAGCTTCAGCACATCTGACAAAATGAAGGGACCAAAAACAGGCCCGCCAGGAGGGACCACTTTTGATTCTAAGAGGGTCCACTTTTGGGTCCCTTCTGAAATATATTTGCTTTGTGCAAGGGCCCAAAACTGGGCCCTCAGCATTCTGAATCTGGTGCCTCCCTGGGGGCTTGTTTGACGCCCTATTCAAATACTCTCTTGAGGCGCGTTGTTGGAATCAGGCCACAAACAGCAGCGTCACACATCATAGCAACTAACTACGAGTTGGCAACCAGGGCCTCGAACAGTTCAAGATTCCTGCCACGGATGCTGTTTGTGTTAAAGTAGCTTCAAGCTGGACATTTTGCGCACATAGCAGCTTGCAAAGCTTCAGCACATCTGACAAAATGAAGGGACCAAAAACAGGCCCGCCAGGAGGGACCACTTTCGATCCTAAGAGGGTCCATTTTTGGGTCCCTTCTGAAATATATTTGCTTTGCGCAAGGGTCCAAAACTGGGCCCTCAGCATTCTGAATCTGGTGCCTCCCTGGGGGCTTGTTTGACGCCCCATTCAAATACTCTCTTGAGGCGCGTTGTTGGAATCAGGCGACAAACATCAGCATCACACATCATAGCAACTACGAGTTGGCAACCAGGGCCTCGAACAAGGGAGGCCCCCACCGTGTCTCCAAAAAGTCTGCTGATTTCAGGTGCTAAAAACGAACCCTCTGGACATGGCGAGGTGCTACTCCTAAAGTGACAGAAAGATCAGCAATGTGGAAACACTTTCCCTGTACATTGCCAAATTTTGAAGGGTGCAAAGGTGCAACTTTTTCAGGCTAGGAAACAGAACCTTTATAGTTTCTTATTCACACTTTCGAAAGTTGCACCTTTGCACCCTGGTTTTTCTCTATCTATTTTGCAAAATAACAGAAATTGACCGCGCTGTTATTCCATCCGAAATGGTTAGACTGGAACCTTATCCGCCACAATTTCTCAAATTTGGGCACGTTCCCCCGCACCCCTCCAAACAATGATTGAGAAAAATAAGATAATGATTCTTTGCAGCATCTGCACTTTGATCTTTGTTTCGGGCGGGAAGGGGGGATGCCGGGCCTGTCACATGCACTTGTGCCAGCTCAGGAGTCCAAGAGGTGGTCGTTTGGACGGCTTTTGCTTCTGCCTGTCATTCAGAAGGGTCTATTTTTGGGCCCGAAAAAGACAAGAAAAATTAGACACGCAAATACGGGCCTCCCCAGTTCAAGATTCCTGCCACGGATGCTGTTTGTGCTAAAGTAGCTTCAAGCTTGACATTTTGCGCACATAGCAGCTTGCAAAGCTTCAGCACATATGACAAAATGAAGGGACCAAAAACAGGCCCGCCAGGAGGGACCACTTTCGATCCTAAGAGGGTGCACTTTTGGGTCCCTTCTGAAATATATTTGCTTTGCGCAAGGGTCCAAAACTGGGCCCTCACCATTCTGAATCTGGTGCCTCCCTGGGGGCTTGTTTGACGCCCCATTCAAATACTCTCTTGAGGCGCGTTGTTGGAATCAGGCGACAAACATCAGCGTCACACATCATAGCAACTACGAGTTGGCAACCAGGGCCTCGAACAGTTCAAGATTCCTGCCACGGATGCTGTTTGCGTAAAAGTAGCTTCAAGCTTGACATTTTGCGCACATAGCAGCTTGCAAAGCTTCAGCACATCTGACAAAATGAAGGGACCAAAAACAGGCCCGCCAGGAGGGACCACTTTCGATCCTAAGAGGGTCCACTTTTGGGTCCCTTCTGAAATATATTTGCTTTGCGCAAGGGTCCAAAACTGGGCCCTCAGCATTCTGAATCTGGTGCCTCCCTGGGGGCTTGTTTGACGCCCCATTCAAATACTCTCTTGAGGCGCGTTGTTGGAATCAGGCGACAAACATCAGCGTCACACATCATAGCAACTACGAGTTGGCAACCAGGGCCTCGAACAGTTCAAGATTCCTGCCACGGATGCTGTTTGTGTCAAAGTAGCTTCAAGCTTGACATTTTGCGCACATAGCAGCTTGCAAAGCTTCAGCACATCTGACAAAATGAAGGGACCAAAAACAGGCCCGCCAGGAGGGACCACTTTCGATCCTAAGAGGGTCCACTTTTGAGTCCCTTCTGAAATATATTTGCTTTGCGCAAGGGTCCAAAACTGGGCCCTCAGCATTCTGAATCTGGTGCCTCCCTGGGGGCTTGTTTGACGCCCCATTCAAATA